CTCGTCGGGCAACCTCTCGATCCCTACTGCGACTCCGTCCCCGAGAGCGACATCGCCCACATACGATGATATCGGCCACCGCCAAGACGCCGACCACGACCTGGGTGACCCCCGCGGACTGAGTGGCATAGAGGACGCACCGCTGATACCACACGCTGCCGACCATGCCGCCCTACCGAGACGCCAACCTTCTACGCGACCGACCTCAGAGCCCTTGCACGGCATCATGATTGGTCCCACTGCGCAAACCACTCCGCCCCCCCACCGCCGGCAGCCCGCGGGGGCGGCTTCAGCCCCCCCGCAGGGCACTAAACCAGACAGGCCCTCGTGCCCCGTCCACGCTTCCATCGTTGCTGAGCGAGAGGAAGCGGCTCTCTCGACCTCTCGGGGCGTGGCCCTAGCGGCTCCAGCCCTGGGGTCGCGTGTGCCCCTCCAGTCACCCTTCAAGGGTGACGGACGTCAGCGTACAGGGTGCCGCACTACGCTAGTCCACCATTTGGACAGGCGTACCGAGGACCTCGCCTCTGTCTCGAGGCTCTCGGCTGCTGGCACTGAGCAGCCACCCCTCACCGACCGCGAAACCGCGCTGTCACAGGCTATGGCTGCTCTCCAGCAGAGGTGCTTAGCTCTCGCCGCGGACCTCGCCGCCGCCCAAGCTCGTCAAGGCCCTCTACTCCAGCGCCTTCACAGCGCTGGGCGAGCCTTTGCCGAGCTGCTCACGGCCTCGCCCGATGGTGCCGTGCCGTCACTCACCATCCAAGCTATGCTGTCATCGTTCCGAGGCGCTCCACCTGGTGCCCCGCGCTAATCTCCTCCTTTCTGCCTGCCCGTGTGTACGCGTGGCTCCGCGTCCACGGTGTCAGGGCGTGGGGGCGGGGGGTGCCCCGTCACTGCGCGCCGCTTAGCGGCCAAGCGCCCAACTGGCGGTCTGCCAAGCCGCCTAGCCACGTGTCAGCACGTCGCCTTTTCTTGTTGGGGCCTCTTTCCTTACGCGGTCTGACAGGTGAGATCATCATCGTCTGTCCGCCGTCTGTAGCGTCTGTCGCACTGCGCCGGGGGAGGGGGTTTTTGTTGCCCGCCCTCGTATCTTAAGGCTGCACCGCCGCAAATAGTGCATGCGAGTTGTCGCACCGCAGTGCGCCTCGCGGACGGACCCTGGTCCGCCTACTTGTCCGATCTCTCTCTCCGCTCTCTCTCTCTCTCTCTCTCTCTCTCTCTCTCTCTCTCTCTCTCTCTCTCTCTCTCTCTCTCTCTCGCTCTTTATGTATCCCTCGTTCTCTGCATCTCTCTCTCTCTCTCTCTCTCTATCCGCCTCTCCTTTTTATCTCGTTCTCTTTTTGTTGATATCTCTCTCTCTTTCTCTTGCTCTCTCTCTCTCTCTCTCTCCCTCCCTCCCTCGTTCAGGGGCTCTGAGATCAGCCAGGTGGCTCCCCCTGGGCTCCCAAATGATGCCCTGGCATGGTTTTGTGACCATGTGGCTCTCAAGAGATACATGTTGGGGGCGCCAAACGGCTATTCTAGCTGAGACGCCCCACCAAAATCGGCGCGAACGGGCTCGTGAGATCAGCCAGGGTGGCTCCCCCTTGGGGCTCCCAAATGATGCCCCTGGCAGCGTTTTGTGATCATGAGGCTCTCAAGAGATACATGTTTGGGGCGCCAAACGGCAATTCTAGCTGAGACGTCCCACCAAAATCGGCGCGAACGGGCTCGTGAGAACAGCCAGGGTGGCTCCCCTTGGGCTCCCAAAATGAATGCCCTGGCAGCGTTTTGCTGACCATGAGGCTCTAAGAGATACATGTTGGATACATGTTTGGGGCGCAAAACGGCAATTCTTGCCTGTGACGTCCCCACAAAATCGGCTGCGAGGGCTTCGTGCGATCAGGCCAGGGTGGTCCCCTTGGGCCCCCAAATGTTGCCCCTGAGCAGCGTTTTTTTTATTGCGACCATTTGAGTCTCTCTCAAGAGATACATGTTGGGGGCGCCAAACGGCAATTCTAGCTGAGACGTCCCACCAAAATCGGCGCGAACGGGCTCGTGAGATCAGCCAGGGTGGCTCCCCCTTGGGGCTCCCAAATGGTGCCCCTGGCAGCGTTTTGTGACCATGAGGCTCTCAAGAGAGACATGTTGGGGAGGCCAAACGGCAATTTTAGCTGAGACGTCCCACCAAAATCGGCGCGAACGGGCTCGTGAGATCAGCCAGGGTGGCTCCCCCTTGGGGCTCCCAAATGATGCCCCTGGCAGCGTTTTGTGACCATGAGGCTCTCAAGAGATACATGTTGGGGGCGCCAAACGGCAATTCTAGCTGAGACGTCCCACCAAAATCGGCGCGAACGGGCTCGTGAGATCAGCCAGGGTGGCTCCCCCTTGGGGCTCCCAAATGATGCCCCTGGCAGCGTTTTGTGACCATGAGATACATGGTGAGACGTCTCGTGCAGCCAGGGTGGCCCCCCTTGGGGCTCCCAAATGATGCCCCTGGCAGCGTTTTGTGATCATGAGAGAGTGCGAGTGTGAGCTTAACTTATCTTATCTTATCTTGAAATCTCTTCTTATCATATCTTGTGTTATCTTATCTTATCTTGTAGTATCTTATTTTGTCTTGTCTTATCTGGTGATTATCATTGGGAGGAGGGAGGCGCGAGCGGGAGGAAGAAGGAGGGGGAGGAGTGGGAGGCGTCAGAGTAATAACAAGAACCCCAATCCTTAGGATATGGGGAACAAGAACCCCAATCCTTAGGATATGGGGAATAAAAATGTTGGAATGGCCTTTTTTCGGCGCCGCCTCGGAACTCGATTTTCCGGCGGCGGCCGGAACTGGCTCCGGACCCGGCCCGAGCGCCGGCCTGGGCGCTGGCTCGGGCGTGCAGCCCGGGCGCCGGCGGAAATGATGCCAGCGCTGCAGCGGGAACACGATTCGGAACGAATGGGGCCCGACAGTGAGGCCCGCGCCTCAGCGAGAGCAGCATTTTGGAAACAAATGCAAGCGAAAACCCAACTCTGGGGAAACCTGCGTGTAAAAAAACAGTACGCAGGGGAGGGGCGGCTACTCCCAAGACGTCATCTGGGGAAGGGGGAGAGTAGTATTCATATTGAGCAATTGTGGAGGGAGGAGGGGGGAGGGGGAGGACGTGGGGGAGGGGAGGAGGGAAGAGGGGCACCTGTGCCGTTGGGTCCACTTCCCAGGAGAACAGCCCGATGATCACCCCTGTTTTCCCGAAGGGGCCAGGGGGACAGAAAATTGCACTCTCGTCGTCAGGGTTGCCTCCCCTTGCGGTGGCCCGGCACGTACCCCGCGTGCGCTTGGGCGGGAGGCGGGTCCCCGGCGGGGGGCCCATTGGGGGTTCCACCCACCCCGCCCACGGTCAGGGTTCCCCGCCCTGGCGTTCCGTGGGGGCGAGCGGTCACGCCGACGGAGTGGCGCCCCTCGGCTGGCTGATCCGGGCGGCACGGCTTGGCGCGCCTCGTTATCTGAAGGGCGCGGCCCGAGGAATTGTAGGTCGCCTGTGCCATTTTGCTTCTGGTTGCGGTCTCCAGGTGTCCCAGGATGTTTCCTGTGTGGCCACAAGGTCGCTTATCAACTCATTGTTTCAGAGGATGTGAAGCATCTTGTGGTGGCCGGAACCACAAGAGTTTCTAGTCATTTTTTTTGGCATCGCGGGATGGTTCCCGACTCGTTGCTGTTTTCAGAACTTGCTGTTTCTCGGGGGGGCCGCGGATGCGATCGTCCTGACCACTGCGATCGCCGTCTCTGCGATTCGGCGAGCGCGAGGGGTAACCACGTAGAGGAAAGTTTTCCCCAGCGGCACTTGTTGGTTTTCCCCAGTTGTCGAGAGGGTTTGGCCACTGTCCTTCTCTATTTCGCTGCATCGCAGGCATCGAAGGGGGGAGGGGGGAGGGGAATACATAGTCGTATGAGGATGAGGAGGAGGAGGAGGAGGAGGAGGAGGAGGAGGAGGAGGAGGAGGAGGAGGAGGAGGAGGAGGAGGAGGAGGAGGAGGAGAAGAAGAGAAGGAGAAGGAGAAGGAGGAGGAGGTGGAGGAGGAGGAGAACAATGGCGAATTTGGGCGCCCTTTTGGGAGTTAGGGGGGCCTCTTGGCGGTCCCAGGGGCCTCTTGCGTACCTCAGGGAGTCACATGCGGCCTCGTGGGGGTCTTTTGGCAGCCTCTTGGAGGCCTCTCGAGCGCCGCTTAGGGCCTCGTTGGTGCCTCCTGGGGCCCTGTTGGGGCGACCTTGGGAGCATTGAGCACGCTCTTGGAACCATCTTAGATGACCTCGACCAGAGAAGGGGAGGGTCGCAATTGGCATTCCCAGTCGAGAACGCTTACAATCGTCAGTTGGACCCCTCTTGGAGCGTTCTTGGGACGCGCTTAGGCGCTCTTGGGACCGTCTTGGGGCTCTCTTGGGCCTCTCTTGGAGCTCTCTGGGGCCTTCTTGGAGCTGTCTTGAGGCCTCGGAAAGCCATCGAAAGCAAAAAGGCGAGAAGGCAACACGCACGGATTGTCTTGTAGATGTTTGAAGGATGTTGGCCTCTTGGCGGCCTCCTGGGGGGGGGGTGTCGTTGCCACCTGGAGCCGTTTTGGAGCGTTCTTGGGGCCTCTTGAAGCATTTTGGGAACCTAAAAACTTACACTATCTTAAGCCATCTTAAAAGTCATCTTGGTCTTTCCGAGGCACTCTTGAAACCGTCTTGGGCCATTTTGGACGCTCTAGCGCCTCGCGGGACCCCCCATCCAAGTCCAGGGGAGGGGTAAGGGGGAGGGGTTACCCCTCCCCCTAAAAAGGAAGAAGGGGGTTGGAAGAGGAAGCGCACTGGACCACCTACGCCCAGAGGGCTGATGGGATTTGCGGTGCGGTTGGCCTCGTAAATTCTGGGTGTGTTGGCGTTGGCTTCTTTGGGAGCTTCCGCGGGCGGAGCCGGAGGTCTTCCGCGGGTTTTCCGCTGGCCTTCGTCGATTGCCCAATGCCTCAAAGGCGAACCGTTTGTGGAGCGCCCCGTGTGCAGAGGCCTCTGTCTACCGCCTTGCGTTCTTGGAGGCGCTGGAAGAGCGGACGTCGGCGCGGAGGCTGAGCGGCACGACGTACGCGTTGTTCGACCTCAGCATAATGTACGAGCTCAGGCGCCCAGACGTTTGGGCGCAGAGGGGCGGGGTGCGGCGGAGGAGGAGGAGAAGGAGGAGGAGGAGGAGGAGGAGGAGGAGGAGGTAGAAGAAGAAGAAGAAGACGACCAAGAAGAACGCCACAGTCGTAGGACTTAGGTCTGGCCGAGCCAAGAAGGAGGAGGAAGAGGAGGAGGATGAGGAGGAGGCCAGCGTAAATCCAGGATGCGTCTGCGATGCTGCAATACACCCTCCCGTCCGAATTCCCCTCCTGACACATCCACGCAGCTTTTTCTTACTGCCAGAAAAGCTTTTCGAAAGAACGGCGCAGCTGGACCTGCCATTCTGGCAAGGGTCCCGTTTTGAAGCGGATCTACCATGCACCCTAGCGGCGCAGAATTAGGAACGCAAGAACTATGAACATACGGTTCAACGCGGTGTCCAGCGAGATGCTTTTTTCGGACCAGGATTGCCCCCCCATTCATGTAAGTGCTGTTTCAAGTTCCAAGCCTTGGTCATTCCGAGGACGTCGCAAGCGAGAACCCCACTTTGACAACGAGCCGCCCAGCACCCGTACAGTGCTACATCTGTTGAAGCTCTTGGCATTGCTAGGGAATTGACGAAGTTTCGAGCGAGAAGTCCATTTTGAACAGCACCGTCTTTCGCCATGTCAGAAGTTGGATTAAAATCGAACGTGCGTGGCGCTTAGCCGCGAGAGCATCATGTAAAAAAACGCCTTGTGCTCATCCCTGCATGGTTTGCAAGATTTGAACCGAACTCGCGCGGTGGCAAGGCGAGCACACCATTGTGATCATCCCCCCTCCTATGCCTGAACATGCTGCACCTATTTGAGACAAGCGGACGTGGCGCTAAAGCGAGAGCCACATGTCTATATGTATGTAACAAAACACACACACAACACAAACAAAAAACCAAACAAACAACGCCCCCCATCCTTGAAGCGGCTGCACACTTTCAGGGTGAATGTGCGTTGCGCTGTGGCGAGAGCCACATGTTGAAAAGGAGCCCCCCCCAATCCTTGAAGCTGCTGCAACCGTTCAAGGTGAATGCGCTTGGCGATCAGGCGAGAGCCACACTCCGCCCCCCACCCCTCCCTCGGGCTCAATCCGTGAAGCTGTTGCAAGTGTTCAAAGACGAGCGATTGCGGTGCTAAGTCGAGAGCGCCAGTCGAACCCACTCCCATCCTTAAAACGGTTGCATTACCCTGTGACGTACCCAACCTATTTGTATCAATGGAAACGAGAAGTTGGCAGAAATTTGCATGGACAGACAACTTGATGTGTAAGCTACTTGGGGCACGCGCCTATGGCATGATGCGCAGGTGAACCATACAAGGACGAGGGGCGACAGCTACAGGCTCGAAGAGGACATGGGGAGTCGGGAACGCAGAGCAGGAGAAAAACGTGCGGGAAGCCGAACCATCAGCACGGCAGCAGCAGAGGGAAGGTGATTGCAGGAGGAGAACAAGGACGAAAGCGGCGTCTAATTTGAGTCTGCGGTGTGTACCCACTGTGCTGGGCCCCATCAGCAGCCCTCGAAAGTGGCGACAGTTTCACAGATCGCAGCCCCCCAGGGATGGCGAGGTCTAGTGTGAGTCTGCGGTGTGTACCCACTGTGCTGGGCCCCTCAGCAGCCTTCGAAAGTGGCGACTGCTTCACAGATCGCAGGCCCCCAGGGATGGCGGCATCTAATTTAAATCTGCGGTGAGTGCCCACTGTGGTGGGCCCGCCCAGCAGGCCTCGAACGTGGCGACAGTTTCGCAGATCGCAGCCCCCCAGGGATGGCGAGGTGTAATTTGAATCTGCGGTGAGTGCCCACTGTGCTGGGCCCCCCAGCAGGCCCCGAAAGTGGCGACAGTTTCACAGATCGCAGCCCCCCCAGGGATGGCGAGGTCTAATTTGAATCTGCGGTGGGTACCCACTGTGCTGGGCCCCCCAGCACGCTTCGAAAGTGGCGACGGCTTCACAGATCGCAGCCCCCCAGGGATGGCGAGGTCTAATATGAATCGTCGGTGCGTACCCACTGTGCTGGGTCCCCCAGCAGCCTTCGAAAGTGGCGACAGTTTCGCAGATCGCAGCCCCCCAGGGATGGCGAGGTCTAATTTGAATCTGGGGTAAAGACCCACTGCGCTGGCCCCCCCAGCAGGCCTCGAAAGTGGCGACAGTTTCGCAGATCGCAGCCCCCCAGGGATGGCGAGGTCTAATTTGAGTCTGCGGTGAGTACCCACTGTGCTGGGCCCCGCAGCAGGCTTCGAAAGTTGCGACAGTTTCGCAGATCGCAGCCCCCCAGGGATGGCGAGGTCTAATTTGAATCTGCGGTGAGTACGCACTGTGCTGGCCCCCCCAGCAGGCTTGGAAAGTGGCGACAGTTTCGCAGATCGCAGCCCCCCAGGGATGGCGAGGTCGAATTTGAATCTGCGGTGAGTACCCACTGTGGTGGGCCCCCCCAGCAGGCCTCGAAAGTGGCGAGCGTTTCGCAGATCGCAGCCCCCCAGGGACGGCGAGGTCTAATTTGAGTCTGCGGTGACTACCCACTGCGCTGGCCCCCCCAGCAGGCCTCGAAAGTGGCGACAGTTTCGCAGATCGCAGCCCCCCCCCCGGGATGGCGAGGTCTAATTTGAATCTACGGTGAGTACCCACTGTGCTGGGTCCCCCAGCACGCCTCGAAAGTGGCGATAGTTTCGCAGATCGCAGCCCCCCAGGGATGGCGAGGTCAAAGGCAGGGGGGAAGAGAGGGACGGGAGGGGGCGGGAAGGAAGGAGACGCGCGAGCACTGCTCTATTCAAAACGAGAACCCAACGCAGGAGGGTTGGGAATTGTTCCACGAATGCAAAGGCCGTTTTCTGAAAAGGCCCCCACTCCATCCGTGAGGTTCGATCGGGCTTCAATAACAAATCACACGCAAAACGCCCAGCCCACCCTACCGACACGCCTGCGAGTGCGACAGGGACGAGTTATATATAAGGAAAGGGATAGAGGAGGAGGAGGAGGAGGAGGAGGAGGAAGAAGAGGAGGAGAAAGAGGAGGGAGGAGGGAGTACATGGGGAGATGTAATGTCCAACCCTCCTGTGCTGACTCATCGTATAGCAGTGTGGCACTGCTCCTCCCGCCCCTCCTTTCCGTGATCTCGTTTCCCGGTTTCTGTCCTCCGCCTCCGCTTCCTCCTCCTCCGCCTCCTCCTCCTCCTCCGTCTTCGCGGCGCCCCCAGGGAGTCCAGTGGATTACCCCGCGCGTACGCTCTGAGTGATGCCAGGCATGCGCTTGTCGTCCTTGTCCTGCGCCTGGGGTTTCAGCGACGGGTCTGTAAGCCACGCAGACCCAGCGGGACCTCGCCTCCCCTGGTTGTTGCCAGGCGTGCAGCGATCGTCGCGTGCCGCCTTTGAGGTGTCCCAGCGGAGTAGCGCCATACAGCCAACAAGTTGAGATAAGGATGACCACGTTGGGCTCAGGGGGGGCTCTGGTGGCCAGAAGAGCCCCCCTTCGCCTCCGTCTTCAGCGTTCCTGCTGGTATCATGACGGGCTGCGGATGCCCACCCCTGGGTGCAGCCAGACGTCCTGGAAGGGTCGGGTACGCCCCTGGATGGTCATGTTTTCGGGAGGGTCCCTGAGGTTCGACCCGAGAGCTTGGCCAAAACCTGCTCCCGAACAGTTTGCGGAGTCGAACAGCCTGGGGAACGATTTTGAGGATTGGGGTCCAGACCTTCAAAGCGTCCTGACATGGTTTCCAAATGGTTCCTGGTGGTTGCCATAAGTCATCGGAGGTTGTCAGGGCGTCTTCGTGCCCACGCCTAGACTCACTTCAAAATTCTGGCCAGAAGCTCAAAGCCTAGAACGCTGGTGCGGCACGCTGGCGGCGGGACGCACCTATTCTGTATTCTAGAGCGCGAGCATGACACGGCATTCGCAGGGTACGCGGGCGGCGGATTTTTCACATTTCAGAAGGAAGAGGCGGGTTCTTCCCATGCAAAGGGCACACCGTAATCGCGTTCGCTGCTGCGGGGAAAGCAGGACGACAAGGGCCACGAATCAAACACATACACACCGTTTGATCGGTCAAAGAACTCTGTACGAGCAAGGCGCTAGAAATAAGGACCACTTGGTCAAGGGAGGGAAAACCACCCCCACCCCGACCCCCAGAACTGGCGTTTGCTATGCAGCCCTGGGCGTTTACTAAACAGCCCTGTCCTGTTCGATTCCTTGCCTAGGCGCGTTTACCAAAGGGGGGCTTTACTTGTCGGAGTGCTGATTGTGAGGGTGAAGTTCGACCCTCTGCTTGGGGTTCGCGCGGACTCTGGTTCTCAGGCCGTTCCTTAACCTAGGAGGGAACCTAGTCGTGGCCGAGCCTCGCCGTGGCGAGAAGAAGACCCTTCATTCCTTATTCTGCGTGCCTGAGGGTAGCACGACGATTGCATGGAAGCTCCAATGCACCACATCCTTGGACTCGGGGGCGTCTAGACACCGAACTCCCAGGCCGGCCGATCAAGCGACGTGGTGTATTCATCGAGCCACGCCCAGTCGGAGGTCCATATGCACCTATTCCTTCTCGGTAGGTCGGTCGACACTGGCCAGAATGAATCCGCAATCCGTGCTACACATTGGGCGAGCAAAAATGCAGGTCAGTGCACATGAGGAAGGAGAGAGAGAGAGAGAGAGAGAGAGAGGAGAGACGCAGAACGCGAGCCTACGAACAGCAACGTTTTCTCCCACTCCGCCCGCCCCAGCGGGCCCCACGACTTGAGGCGTCATCTGCTCCTCATCCTCCTGCTGCCGCCGCTCTCCTCTTCCTCATCCGTGCGCGGGTACGGCCTGACCCGTCCGACTACGGACTATGGAGCGTCGAACGAAGAGCGCGCGCTGCGGAACAAAAATCATCCTCCCCCTCCTTCTGCAAGCTCAGGCGCCCCGACTTCGAGGATGACATCCTCAGCAAAGATGCGCTCGAGGAGGCGGCCGGGCTCGAGGGTGCCCTGCGGGGCCTCGGCGGCTTCCAGAGCCTCTGCGGCGAGGCCCGGGCCCAGCACCGCGGCCTGTGCGACCCTGGTCCCCAGGGGAGGAGCAGGTACCCAGAAGTGCCGGTGTGGACCCCTCCCTCGTCTCGCCACAGCCGGATTCGCTTCAAAGTTCTGGTCAGAGCGCACCCCTGGAGAGGACCAGGGAGTAGCAGTGTCGGTCCCGCTTTGTCCCCCCAGGTCTGAGCGTTGCCAATTACCGCCTGGCCGACCGCATTACACAAGACGGACTTCGGGGGTCGCCACGAAGAGAACGGGTCTTAGAGCAAAGATGCCTTGAAAGTTTTTAGCCGTGCCCGGTTTCCCAGAGCATTTCCAAGGCCCCTGGGGCCGTCAGAAACAGCTCAGGAAACAAATGCCCTGGGGAAAGCCCTGGGTCTAGGCCCCATGCTCACCAGGACCCGTTGCCTTCATGCTAAAGCAGTGGGGGCAACGCAGCTCAAGGGAGGTGACGTGACTTAGGGAGCGGCGGCTATATGGGAGAGCCCTCCAAGGGGTCTCGGAGACGTGGCCTGAAAATCACAGCGGAGGAGCGTCCATCTGTCACAGATGTTCGGGAAGTTTGATGTTGTTACCGCCGCGTGCAATGTATGACCTCCTGGACCTCTTGGCATTTGATGGAGTTTGGGCCCTCGGGCCCCACGCTTAGCCCGTCCGGCCAGGCCCCATGGGGGGCGCTTGCTGCAACCCCCGAGGCCTTGTTGTCCAGCTCGTCCCTGACGGCTCAGGTCGGGACCTTTTCCCGTTGGAGTCCTCCTTCGCGATGATGGAGCGCCACGACCTTCCCAGAATAGTTTTCCCTTTGGACTTCGAGCCTGCAGACAATGTCTCCTCGGAGGTGCAGGTGGGCCAGCTCCGCACCCATTTCCGGTTCAAGATCCCTGTAGATTTCAGCGGCGATGGTTTCGCCGCCCTGAAAAAGAAGTGGATCGCCTTCGTCGATGACGAGCTCTTCCCTTTTTTGTGGGAGCGCCAGGAGCTGGGAGATGATTTTCAAAGCAACCGCAGGTCGATGATCGTCCTGCTCCTCCTCCCGTCTTCCCTTTTCTCCAGCTTCATCTTTCTCTTCCTCCTCCTCCTCCTGGAAATCCAGCCCTAGGACCTCTCCTAGGGGAGTTCTGACCAAAGTTTCGATGGAGGTCCAGCCGCGGCGACGAGGAGCCTTCAGAGGGTTTCCGAACCTCGATCATCCTCCTCCTTTTTCTTCGCCTCCACCTCCTCCTCCTCCTCCTCCTCCTCCTCCTCCTCCTCCTCCTCGAGAGAGAGAGAGAGAGAGAAAGAGAGAGAGAGAGAGAAAGAAAGAGAGAGAGAGAGAGAGAGAGGGCAGAGGCCATATCGCCCTCTCGCTCCCCCTGGCTGTAGATCGGCATGGCACTTCCGGGCTGTGTCCTACATCTTCCTTCTCCTCCCCCGAGCTGCAGGAGCACAGGCCCCCTATAGCCAGGCTGGGATCAGGCGATGCACGAGGACGGCAGATCTCCTGCAGACGGAGGCAGGCAGCATGAGGGGTCCTAGGCCAAGGGAAGGAGGGAGGAAGAGGAGGAGGAGGAGGAGGAAGTTCGGGCAATTGTTTGCAATGTGAAATTGCTGAGCTGAGCCCCGTGCCGGATCTGGGGATCATCTGACAAATCTGCCCAATATTGACAGTTTGCCAGGGATGGGTCCTCCTAGAATTGTTTGTTCTAGCAGATTTGGGTTGGGAGGAGGAAGAAGAGGAGGCGACGGCGAATCGCTGTCGGGTCGAGCATCGCACTAACACCGGAAGCAGCCATGTCTCCAAGAGCCTCGGAGGACGTGCGACCCACCGTGCACCTTGACAGCGAAAGATGCAAGGCCCCACGGCGGGAGCCCCGAGTGGAATTCTCGCCCAACCACGAAACGCATTCGGAACGGCAACCCAAGCCCAGTCCCCAGCAAACAGCAGACGACGAGGGAGGCCCGAAGTCACAGGAGGGAGCGGGGGACGCCTCCTTCCGCGAGAGACGATCGCCTCGTCTCCCGCCTCCCGGAAGCGGGAGAAGGAACCGTGACGTTCACCAACCCGCAGAACGACGCCGCCCCCGGAGGGGAAGATGAGAGACCGAAGCGCAGAGAAAGCGGGAAAGGCGAGAGGAGCAGAAAGACGACCGACGAAACGGCGCCGAAACCATGAAGACTACAGCAGGGCCCAGGTCATCCCAAGAACAAGGTCGAGCCCATGAGAGCTTACCGAGTAAAAAGTTCCACCAGCTCTTCGCAGCTATACTGCGGATGGTGCTGCTGACGTGGCGCTGCGCTGGCTTCACTCCGCTCGCCAGTAGTATAATATCGTATCTTGTCCGTGCCGATCCCGAGACTGGTCGCTGTGGGCCTCGAAGCTCGAACCTCTCTTGAAACTTGTCGGGGGTTGGCAGCACGCATGTGCATACATTTCCGAACGTCGGCACAGGCGGCACAGTCATCATCGCATCCTTTCGAACTCGTCGATCGCCGCTTGCAGTATGCGCTCGGTGTGGAAGCGAGGCGCAACCCCCTACTTCAACTCCGCTCCCAATATGATAATACTTTCTGCATGGGCTGATCGGACAGGGAAACAGTCAACTTTGTTTGGTTCTCTTTGAACGCCGTGCTGGAATCCTCGAACTAAGATATTCAGCTCTATCTGGGCGTCGAGCTTCTGTTTGTGAATCTCCCAGGCCGTCTTGTTCCGAGCCCCATACTTTGTCTCCTTCCTTGGTGATCTGATCTGCCACTACCATGAATAGCTGAGCGCAGGCGGGCCCCATGTGTACTTCTGGCTGTGGCGCCTGCGGGTCCTTTGCGTGAGCCCCCCTCATGAAGCCTGCAGTGGTCGCGTCTGCTCGCCCCGCTTGGAAGGCGACCATGGACACCGTGCTGTCCTCGGGGAGCAGGAGTGGTAGGAATTCTGCTGCCATGAGAAGCCGCAATTGGAATGTGTTCCCGAGGACAGCTTTGACGAGTACTGGCATCAATCGGGCCATCAGTTGCACCTCCATGCCGGGAAGCTTCTGCAACGAGTCGGGAGCGAGACCGCACTGCTTGCCGAAGGCCGCCTTGACGTATTGGGCTCCTCCTGCTGCCGAGCTTGCTGCCGCGCCTGCTTCATGTGCGGCGGCGGGTGCGCGTTGGAGCTGGCTGGGGCCTCTGCGTCGTCGTCCACGCTGGCGGGAAGCAGCGGTCGATCCACTGCGGCCGCGCTGCCGTGGTGGCCCTCCTCATTTGCTCTCTGACCTAGAGCGCGCCTGCTCAAGCTGCTCTGAGCTCAACTTGAATATCTCAGGGCTGCGGCGCGGGAGCGTGGACGGTCAGATGCCGGCGCAGCTCGTCAAGGGTGGGGCAGGACGCATCCCTCGAGCAACGCGGCTCTGTAATGTGACCACCAAATATAGAAGCCATTGTAATCCTCGTTAAACGACATCCCAACGCGCCGGGCATCTGAACTGGATGGTGAGATATATATATATATGCATACATATATATGTATATATATAAAAAACATATTCGTCACAGGGCACCGTTTCTGGAGGACTGCGTATAATGCGCGTTCTTGTGTAATGCGCCTCGTGCGGGATGTTTGTCTGCAGTAAATACATCGGCTAGTTTCAGTTATAGTCTGCACCACAGACCGCACGTTGTGCCACCAATCCCTTGCGAACCTCTGATGTGCCAGCAGGGCTCGCTTAGTAATGAACCCCCCCCCACAGCCAGTGCCCAACGAGCCCGCAAGCTTCCATGGGGCAGGCACCGCTGGTGGTTGGTGGGCCTCCGAGGCCTCCAAAGTAGGGTGAGGTGCGTAGAGATCAGGAGAAGGAGGAGGCATGGCCACCGTCTTAGCGGCCGCGCGCAACACGCACGGGTCGGGCCGTAGGATTATGTGCCTCACCTCGGGGTCGGAAAACCAGCGCGCACACATTCTGGCGAAGCGCGTCTGGTGTCGGAGGCCCGTAGACATAGAGTTGCCCCAGAAACTCGTCCTCCTCTGCTCGGCGCAGCAGGCGAATGACGTCTCTCCATGCACGAGGGTTCGTGTCCGCAACAATGGCCCCGTCAGGCGCGATAGTCGGAGTTGGTTCCGCAGGCAGATGACCAATGACAACAGCTATCTCTTGGGCATGGTGGTATGGATGGCGCAGCCATCTTTGATGTGTCCTAAGCCGTCGCACGCGCCATTCTGTACCCGCGAGGGGCCACCCCCAATTTTCTCAGTACTTGTTCGTCCGTGCATGCCCTATACTTCAGAAGTGGGTTCCATTCTGCATTCAGTCGTGTTGAGCCCCCAGGCCCCATGAACTCCGTTTTTTTTGTTGTTTTGTTTGTTTTTCTTTTCCTTCTGCGGGCGCCACCTCCGAGAAGCTCCTGACAAAACAAAAAAACACCAGCGCCCGATCAAGTGTTTTGTGGTTTCTGCGTCGTCGCCAATATCCTGATAGTTCAGCCAGTGAGAAAAGTGCCCTGGATCACCGACCCGAAGACAGCCCTCGTGAACCTCCAAATTCTGTTCCGCGCCCCAACCTTCCCCATGCCACAGCAACCCCGACGCGCAATAATTCGACGTCGCAACTCAGTGCGCCCCCTCCGTTGACCGACGTGGAGACCCCAAGAGCACCGAGCCGAATTGGATCTTCCCAGCGACGGGAACTGAGCCCCCGAATAGAGCATGCGAGTGCACATGTGCCCAAGGGCCTACGAAGCTAGTTGCCACATTGCCCCTGTCAACTGCCAGCTGCGAGCCGCCCGAAGCGACCGCCCTTTGGGGTTCGTCCAACCACCGAGGGGGCGAGCTCTTTCACTCCGGCACGGACGCCGACACTTGCTAATCATTCGGTGTAGACCACATTGATGGGCCGGATTTGCTCGCCGACGACGACCATGCAGCACAATGCGCGCACTTAGGCTACCATCGTGTGAAGAGAAGGTGGGGGCGACATATAAAGAAGCCACTTCGGCGATTTAGGCGAGCAGTGAGTCGCGTTCTCTCGCGCAGGCAAGGGTCGCGGGAAGGGCGGCAGGCGCGCCCGTAGGTTGCGTGGAAAAAGGGTACGTTCCGAGCCACATTGACCGATTTCGATTTTGAGGGATTGTTCTTCGGTGGCAAGGGCAAAGGTAAAGGCCGCTGGAACACCGCAGGCAAAAGCAAGGGGCGCAAGCTAGACCCCATGGACGAAAACGGCCCGCGCATGACACGCAAATCACGCGGGGGCGACGGACATTTTCAGGCACAGTGCCCCGAGGGAAGAGGACAAGGGGATGGATCCGTATTTCTTGGCGCAGAGCAACACGACGCAGACGTGCTGGGGCGCGCTGATTTCCCCGATCTCGATCACCCCTCCCAAGTGCAGTCCAGAACCACCTGGTTCTTGATTGCTCAGTGCGCCGAAGCTGCCATGGCGGTCGAGCGCTGCGCCAAGTCCTTGTGCGACGGCATCGAGGCATCGAGGAGCTCGACGACGCGCCGTTCGAGGACTGCGACGGCCTGCCTTGGCAAAGACACGCGCGCGCTCATTCTGGCGACGAGGGCGACGAGGACGGACGCACGTCAGAAGCAGAGACCACGCCTGCCACCGAGGCCGAGCTACAGGAACTCCAGCCCGGACGCGGGCAGACAGGTCTCTCCCAGCTCCCACCGCCGGCGGCGTTCGGGCTCGCCGAGGATGAGCGGGCCGCGGTCGGTTGGGGCCGAGTGGACGCGAGCGTCTTCACGATGCGGGGCCGCTCTGGCC